TGTGAGAGCCGCCACAGACAAGATGCCAGATCAGGGCCAAATACATTCCATATCCGTCTTTGGATTTTAGCAAGGACCTTGAGACAATTAGAAGAGGCTCCAGACCATATATGGCAGCAATACTCCATGCAAGGGCGAATGGTTGATTTGTAGATTTGAAGGATCGACTCCGACGAGAAAGATTTCCTGGCGTGTCATAGGGAGCCAACATTTTCAGCGGTGGACGAATTCGTTCCATCTCAGTTCAGCGGACAATGTGAGACCGAGCAGTCGCAAAGAAGTGCTCTCATGAAATTGCGGGTCAGACATTCTAATGGGAGGCAGGGATGGTTCTCTCCGGTAACTAATAGAGAGCAGTTTTGTTTTTGAGGCATTAAAGTTAACCAGTCAATTCCTGCCCCAGTCCACAACCGATTGGAAGTCCTTTTCAAGACAAACGGCCAGGTTAGTTTTGTCGGCGACACTAGATTTGTTTTTGAGGCAAGAGTAAATAGTAGTGTCGTCCGTGTAGATGCCTACTTGGGAACCTATGACATCAGGAAGATCGTTAATGAAGATAAGGAACAGAGTAGGGCCTAGGACAGAGCCTTGGGGAACACCTGCATTCGTGGGAGCTGGAGGAGAATCCATTGAGAATGATCTTCAATATACGGTTCGACAGGAATGATTGTATTAAGTCGAAAAGTCGACCTGTAATTCTATAAGCCTGAAGCTTGCGAATAAGGCCGGCATGCCAAACCCTATGAAACGCTTTGGAGATATCAAGAGCCACGGCACGAGCTTCTCCGTTATTATGAAGTGCTTGGTAAACAATTTCAGTGACGGTCGTAAGTACATCAGCTGTAGAACGGGCAAAGCGGAAACCATATAGCTGCTAATGTTTTAAATTTGAAAAAAAAATATTGTTGGTAGTTATTTTAAAAAATGAAAGTGTATTGTTGGTAATGTTTACACTGTGAAAATGTATTTTTATACTTTCATAGAGGTTTGACCCCAATTTCGGAGTTAAATATTCGCCCATAGATGGGACCCTAATAGATGCTACCACCGGCGGTCAGGGTGGACTTTGGAACAATAAGAATTAAGACGTGGTTCGACGTTCCTTAAAATCTCTTGATCAGAGGCCTTGCTGACGGATGTAGTTTATCATCATACCCAGGATACATAGCAGATAAGAAAATTGAACAAAGATTAATAATAGCAATGGAAATATTAGCCAACCGTTTCCTTATAAGAAAACATTCGCCATTCATTGACCGAGCAGCCGGTGCTACTTTTGGTTAAAATATATAAAATGTTTCTATAAAACAATAATTCCGCCAAATAAGTTTCTAGCTGTTGTCACTGTTTCTAGTACTAATGACTGTTTCCTTACTTGCTATTTGTTTGAAGTCGTGTGGAAAGTCAATACCTTAAATATATCATTAATATCCCTTCGAGTTTTATTTGCTATCAATTTTCGTTGTAGCTGCTGTTGAGAGTCCTCAAGGGAATATGGTTTCTGTTATTTGTGTTCTTGTAGCGTCGGTCCACAAGGCCCGAAGCTGCATGGACCTCAATAAGTTCTACAGAAGCCATTTTTAAACATTGATCAGAGAGTATGCATCTGAAAGTTTAGACATTTCTTAAAGAGTTTGTCGCCAGTTATATCACAGCCCTATGAAGATCTTAATCTGAAGAGGCTATTTAAGAAAACATGACACCATTTTTCAGGTTAACGTTTTGATTTTGTAATAATTTGCAGGGTTGAGCGAAACTACATCAAGCACTGCCTACTTCATGTTTAATTCCTTTATCTCTTCTACTAACTGAGGTATATTATGTTTTTGGTATGTACTAATTCCACATCCTGATTTTTTATGAAAAATTCAGGGTTGGCGCTATACAGTTTCTTTCTCAGATCAATGATCAGGCTAGTTTCGCCCTATACCGCAACACTTGAGAACTTTAAAATACAATAACAATTTAAATTTATTTCACATAATGAAAACTCGTAATGAAAATAATGGCATAATCACGATGTTTGACTCCACCTTAAATAAAATGTTAGGAAGGAAGTTCCCATCATTACCGGTAAGCTCGAGGAACTGACTAACATATTTTCCGGAAAAACTGTTTTCAGAGAAAGATTTGTTAAATTTAAACCGGGAGTAGCAAAGGTTTCTCGGTCAATGAATACCGAATGTTTCCTTATGAGGAAACGGTTTCTAATATTACACTTACGATTACCATATATTTAAAAAAAAAAAAAAAAAACATTATAGAATAAATGTAAAATATAAAACTGACTGAACTCTTATAGCGTATTAATTCTTTAAAATATGGATAAAATAATAAATGTTCGTCTGTCGAAAAGGTAAGCTTTGCGTTGAAAATATTTAATAAATGGCCGGGTATATAGTAGAGTTTTTTTTTTATTAGAATTGATGACCATTCGCGTTAAGTGAAAAAAAAAAGGAAAACAATTTCTTTTGGAAGCATAGGATTAAAACGTCCTAGTCATCTGCGGCTAATACTTGACTGCTGCCCTCTGCTATTACGTATTTTCTCTACAGCCAGTCTCTTTAATATCACTATAAAAAAAACGTATTGCACTGATAGACACTGACTAGAACCTAAATAATTCTTAACTCTATATCAATAAATGAATGCAAGTGCTTTTCGTATAAAAATTCATAACACGTTTGATATCTTACCCGTAGAGAAATGCTAACGAATGCAAAGTAGTTAAAAACATTTTGTTTCGTCATTTTCGTGTGTTCTTAAATAATTTAGTTTTTATTTTTTCTTTGAGAAAAGCTGTTGAACTTGTTCAGCAGATAAACAATATTTATGTTTGAACATCTGACAATTTTTTTTTTAAATACCAGAACAAGAACAAACAAGATTTTCCATTATTTTAAACTCATGTTTTATAATTGATTTCATGGTGTAATTTATAAAACTTGATACCGCACGTTGAAAGTAATCTGATCTGATTTCCCGTACCCTTACAAATGATATTATCTTTAAATAATCTTAAGATTTCTCTATTTTCATCGTTTTGATTGAATCATAATGCATTGTTTAAAAATAATTTCTTTGTTTTTATATTCATATCGTCTGGCATCACCAAAGCCAGTGTATATTTTTTAAACATACAAATTTGTTGTAATTTATTAAGCTTAGCTAAGTGTGGCGCAAGGCCATAATTATATGAGGGTGAGAATAGAAAATAACACACAACTTGTCTAGCAAGCAACGGCTAACGTAATTTACATGTCTCTGAAAAAGTATAAAATTCTGTATATAAGGTCGATAACATTTGTGATATTTTCGACACATCTGTCTATATTTCTGAGATGAGGTACTGTAACGATTTACGCTATTTATGATGTTCGGCTTGTTGTCCACATCTTTACTGTCCTATTCCCGATGTTTCGACCGTTGTACGCACCGGCCTTCTTCAGGTGTATTTCGAAATGAACCATTTATTTCGATCACTGGGGTAGATTGTTATCGTTCCACAAGTCATGCCTTTGTCTGGATATCCCAGTTTAAGTTATTTCCCTTTCGTAACTCAACGGCACATGAACCAGTGGATAAAAGCGTTGTTTGAAAGCAATCCAGTGACTTCACCCAAAGTTGTGAGTTCAATACCTGGCCACAGCAGAGGTGAACAAAAACTAGGAGACTTAAGTTACTAAAGGGAATTAACTGAAACTGAGATATCTAGAAAAGGCATGGCATGCGGATCGAGAACAATCTACCCCAGTGGACGAAATAAAAAGTTCGTTTCGAGATTCCAGGGTATATCACCTGAAGAAGTCAGAGCGTACAACGACCGAAACATCTTGAATATGATAATAAAGATGAGGACAACAGTCCGAACTTCATAGTGTAAATATTTATTTTCCTATTCACTATTTAAAACACAAATAGAGATATTTAAAATTATTTTTTTTTTATAAATAGAAGTTTTATCGTTTTTCTTTTCACTTTTTTGTTCCTGTCATCATTTTGCTTGTTGCTTTTCTCGCCTGATTATTCAGCAAGAGTCTTCGAATTGACAAATACTTAAAACCTTTTTAAACATAGAGTAGCACGCCTAAATTCACGCAGACTGAGCATCAGGGAAACAATCCCGTCAGAGCACACGCCATGAAAATATTTGTAGAAAAGACAGAGGGAAGACACATCATATCGGTGAGAAATCGACTGAAGTCGTGAAACTTAGTATCTGTCTGTATTTCTGAGATGAGGTATTATGTACATTATTTACATTACTCGACGTCTCCCGATTACTCGGACTATTCTCATCATTTTTGTCACCATATTTATTTCAACGTTTCGGCCGTTTAATGTCGAACTTAACCCTCACTGGGGTAGACTGTTCTAGTACCACTTGCCATGTTTTAATGGGTGTCTTTTCTCAGTTATCTCCTGTTAATTTCCCTCTGAAGGTTCTCCACTGCCTTAGACGGGTATTGAACTCAGAAGATAACTGATGACTGACATCCATTAGACATGGCACATTTTACCTGACTGTAGTTTACGTTCGTGCAATTTTTGTGTGAGGAAGGATGAGGTCTTAGATAAGTGGAAAACAAGGAGGAATCATACTTAACATCAGAAAGAAGCACCTGAAGTTTCTGGGACACATAATGAGGGAGGAAAGCGTGGAGAGTCTCATACTCACGGGTCAAATTAAGGGAAAAAGAAACAAGAGAAAACAACGCGTGATATACTTGGCGGGCTTAAGCAAGTGGAAACGTGGTCTGGAGGCGGAAGCAGAGGAAAGGAACTTGTTGAGAGCTGCAAGGGATTTAGAGAGGTGGAGAGCCATGATCGCCTACATCATGAAAGGACATGACATAAAAAGAAAGAAAGAAAGAAGGATTGACAGTCGTTGTAAATGCGCTGATAATGAATTGGTGTGAATATGGCCTCAGTTATAGACAATCAAACGTTTTATGATCTTTTTTCTTCAAAGACAATAAACGTTTTGTAACTGCAAAGGTTTACGGCCACATCACGTTAAAACTTCTGTTCCCATACGATCACCGAAGTTAAGCAACGTTGAGCCTGGTCAGTACGTAGATAGGTGAACGCTTCGGAATACCATGTGCTGTAAGCTTGCATGTCCGGATGATGAAATGGATAATGGCTCGGAATTGTTAATCGGATTAATTAGTAAAACTCGTATTACTAAATCATTATTATCTCCCCCCACCCCCAAAAATCTCTTAATCTAAAAATATTTACTGACTTTAATTACCTGAAAAGGGTGAATAAACCGTAGAAAACAAATCAGTCACTGGATTAACGTAAATGCGAATCAAATATATGCATATATAAATGTAAACTTGTATTTATATTATAATGAAGACACCGTCAGCATAAACCCACACGCTTACAACAAGTATACATGCACATGTATGCAACAATCAATTACGTGGCTTCATATCTCTCTTTCTATAAGGATTCTTGGCTTAATCTTGCAAACGAAGATTTGCGTTTATTGAGGATGAAATCTGTTTTAATTGGATTTTCCCAGGTAATTCGCTATCTGCAAACACTGGTTTTAAATGATTCAACACTGGTTTCTTCCCCGTTATTTTTCGCTAATGATACAACAGACCTCTGACTAGATTCTATCAAATTCTTAAGTCTACATTGCTGAGGAAATTCAAGAAAATTTATCGCAAACTTTATGGTATAGTTGATATCGTACGTGAATAGAAACGAAGGCTAGTGTTCTATATTCACAGAAAATAAAGGAAAAATTTTTTTTCTGTAACTGATCAATTATTAAACACTTTAGTTTAAAAAGTTATCTTTTCATTTCAACCTGTTAAATTTGTTTTGCAAATCAACGATATATAGAAAAGAAACGCAGTTCTAGTTTAATTTTAAACTGTAAAGCCATGTAATTATTTTGAGGTTCTACTTTATAAAATTTGAAACCGCAAGTAAATCATGTACATATTTTCTAGAATGCTGCAGGCCTTCCAGTATTACTTGCTGGACACGTATATTACTCCTTTTTAATTTAGGAATTCACGAGACTTCAGTGAGGTTAGACGATGACGGTAAATTCTCCTCTATTAAGCAAATAGTCGGGCCGTATACAGAGTCCCACCTCCACTTTTAAGAAACATTATGAAACACTGACCAGTGTAGATTTGTTCTGGGTATGATGATAAATAGCATCCGGCAGCATAGCATCTGTTAGGGGTCATAGCTATGGAAAATAATGAGCAACCAAAAAAAAGTCAACTGTAATTTTTTATAATAAAAAGACCAAAAATATATTTTTATAACAAAATCACAATCAATAAAACAATAAAATACAAAAAATATTTTTATAGTAAAGTTACCAACAATGCATTTTATGATCTACAAATTTATAACTAAATGTATAAAATTATTTACAAAATATCTATAGTTGAAAGCATAAGATTAAATACAACATATTTAAATTAAATTAATATTTAAATTTCGTCATTAAATAACCAATAGAGATTAATAAACCGTCTAAAAAAATCAATCAACCAACCAAATGACAAACACGAAAGAACAATTGCATGAAATCAATCCATATAGTATCCTACAATTTATTAAATCAATCGATATTCCGAACAATATTCCGACATAAAACACATATAGCACCATCTCTAGTAATCATGTCGCGACAAACTTGTATATGCACAAAAGCTGAGTATTATCTACCATGTATTCAATTGTGAAAGCAGAATAACATATATCATAATTTTATTACTTCAAAGCTCCCTTTGAAAAGTGCGGTCGCACACGTGGAAATAATGCTCAACAACCGAAAAGCACATTACAATGTACGGTAGAGAATCTTCACGCGTCTATTAAAACACACAGACACAAAGACATATATATATATATATATATATATATATATATATATATATATATATATATATATATATATATATATATATATGTGTGTGTGTGTGTGTGTGTGTGTGTGTGTGTGTCTGTCTGTCTGTGTGTATATATATATATATATATATATATATATATAAATAAAATTGGGTGTATGTATATATATATATATATATATATATATATATATATATATATAAATAAAATTGGGTGTGTATATATATATATATATATATATATATATATATATATATATATATAAATAAAATTGGGTGTATGTGTATATATATATATATATATATATATATATATGTATGTATATAATTCACTAGGATTTGAAGGCCAGTAAATGTAAATAAATATACTTTTTAATAAATAAAAAACAGAGCATCTACTTAAATATGAGTATTCATTTAAAACAAAAACGTTTAAGCAAATAAATTAAAAATATGTCGGATATAAACCATTTCCTAATAAATATATATATATATATATATATAATATAGACACATTATATGTTTATTTTTATAATGATCCTTTCTTGTTCTCTCATTATCTTGTTGATGTTAAATTGTAATTCATCAAGATAAACCTAATGTAACTGTAATCGTTGTCATGGTGATTTATGTAAAGAGGCTTGAACGCACTACGTTATGATTATGTTTAAATTATCCTTTGTGCTTTGTTTGTTTTGTAAACAAGCGTTCACAATGCACGGGGGTAACAAGAGATTAAAAAATACAACATGTTGTTAAATGTTAGTCAACTCAAATGCATTTTAAATCATTGCTACTTTACTCTGAATAAATCAGGAATAAAAGTAATTATATATTATATACTAAATCTAACACAACCGACTTAACCATACGCAATAACTCTTCTCCGTCATTTAGTATTTTGAAACAGATCAACATCGTATATCGGTTTAAATATTCTGACAAAAATGTAAGTTTATATGTTGACTTGACGATTACATTATCAAGATGTCTTACACTTCATTTGTCAAATACAAGTTCTATAGCATAACATTTAAAGACACATTCCTGTTCCTCTTCACAATACAGAAAAATACTTGTTGAAAGGACCAAGAAAATAATAAATAAAAACTTCAAATTATCGAGTCCTTCTATATCAAAAGCAAGCAACCAACACTGAATAAAATTTATTACGAGTGTAGTAGCAATGTTTCAAAAATCATTTAAGCTGACAAACATTTAATGCTGTGTTGCATTTTACCATCGCTCTTAATACATATGGATTTAGAAAGAAGAAACCTGTTTTCACTCAAGAATAATTCCTTTCTGCTATTTGCAATTTCAAATAAATGACTATTTCGATTCATTTATAAAACTTGGTCTTTAGTGTTTTATAAAACTTGAAAGTCGTATTAGCCATTGATAAAAAGTTAAAACGTTTATAATTCTGATATTTATTTCATAAAATTGCTTTTACATTTATGCTGTTTTGATAATGATAATTGCCGTTTATTTTAATTGACTCGGCAGTGAATCGGAAGCAACTATACTGTCACATTAAAAAGGTATTCTTAAACACGTTTCACCCCAAGGAAATGATAAAAAAAGTAAAGAAAATGAGAAAACGCTATTGAGTAGAAAGGACAATAAAGTAACATTATTCAAAGAGACAAAAGAATGATAACACATTAATAAAAGTTAGCGATAACGATAAAAGGTTAAAAGGACAAGCTATTTTCTATATATTCTGTAATTGAAATACAACGGAAATGTGAATAGGTTTATAAACGAAACGTCAATTCACACATTCCATGTAATTTTTCAACTTCATACTGAAGTCTTCATGGACTTATATAAAGTTCTAATCTATAGAATTAACATTATTCCATAAAGTGCCAATGGACATTTCCAACTTTCGAACGCTAAATGCATTTCATTTCCATAAATTATGTACACTAATATTCTCTACTTTGATATTCGGTCTATGACGCTTACACTGATTCGCACATTATTAGCCACTTCATGTTTTATCGATATATGATATATGAATACTTATTGGGATTTCCACATGACAGCAACATGTACGTGCGCAGTTAGGATTAAAACCGATTCGTTCTGCGCATATGTAAAGCACTAGCAGCCATTTGCATGATTTTTTTTTAATTTCTAAGTATCAAATGAATAGATATATAGTAAGTGTGAAACTTTAAAATGAGTTGTAAAGCTGATTCGACGAATAAAGATAAATGTTTAATAACTTTAGAGCTTGCCAAGTTTAAAACTGCGCTGGAAGTTGCAAAATATGATCGCCATATAACACCGAAGAAGTTTAGAATTTCATCTGATTGGTCCGTCTCCTGTCACGATATATATGATATAAGATACGCTTTGTCAAAATATGACATTTTTAAACGGTGCTGCAAGTATAAAATGCCTGGTTCTAAATCAACTTTCAATATGTGGTACTTATCACTTGAACAAACAATCCGTAAGGAAAATTGAATGTAAAGTGCAACAGAATACGTGTACAACGATTTTCACCTTTTTTCACTGACTAATACTGGAAAGATAGCGCAAAACCTGAGAGGTTACTGACAGTAGTCGCCGTCACAGCATGACACGTCAACAAGACAAACACAGTGTAAAGTTTGAACTGAGATTATACGTGCTGAACATTTGCAGAAAGATGATTTTATGGCTGACATTACTCCACAGACTTAAGTGAAGAAAGTTAATTCATATCTGAATAAAATGGGATTCAAATATACTTTTTGGAAGAAATTGTCGGATAGTTATGTAGCATACAGTAGAGGAAATTCTACATTAGCGGACAGCAATTTACCAGTAAATATTATATTCACTTGGCTATTGACACCTGGAATAATCCTGAGAATATAACTTGCAGCCTTAATCTGCCTGCAGCTAAGATTGCTGCTGCTGTTTGCCACGATTGACTGCACCCACTGAGGCTTCTTTTACTTTATAGCAACAGTAAGAATTATCTCTTCGGGACGTAGGCGATCATGACTCTTCAAAGAAGAGGGAGAAATAGTTATTTACGTCTATATCTGAGATGATGTATTATGATTACTTACATTATTCGGATTGTTATCCTCATCTACACTGCTATATTCACTACGTTTCGGCCTCTATATCTCTGAGATGAGGTATTATGATTACTTGCATTATTTACATTAGACGGACTGTTATCCTTCTCTTCATGGAAATATTCACAACGTTGT